CCAGCTACTCGGGAGGCTGAGGCAGGAGGATGGCTTAAGGCCAGGAGTTTGAGGTTGCTGTGAGCTAGGCTGACGCCACGGCACTCTAGCCTGGGCAAAAGAGTGAGACTCTGTCTCAAAAAAAAAAGAAAAAAAGAAAAAAAAAATGTGGGCCCTTTTGCGCCTGGCTTCTTTAAGCACAAAGTTTTCAAGGTATGTCCACTTTGTAGCATGTATCAGAACTTCATTCCTTTTATGGCTGAATAATATTCCCCCGTTTGAATGGATCACATATTGTTTATCCTTTTATCAATGGACACGGGTTGTTTCCACCTTTTACTATTGTGAATAGCACTGCTGTGAACATTCGTGTATACAGGGGTTTTTTTGTTTGTTTTGTTTTTAGAGACAGGGTCTCTGTCATCCAGGCTGGAGTGCAGTGGTGAACTCATAGCTCACCATGACCTTGACTTCTTGGGTTCAAGCAGTCCTCCCACCTCAGCCTCCCAGGTAGCTAGGACTATAGGCTCATGCCACCATACCAGGCTAAAAAAAAAATTTTTTTTTTTTTTGAGAGGTGGAATCTTGATATGTTGCCCAGGCTGGTCTCGAACTCCTGGACTTAAGTGATCCTCCTCCCTTCGCCTCCAAAAGTGCTGGAATTACAGATGTGAGCCACTGCGCCTGACCAAGTTTTCTTTGTTTGTTTGCTTTTGTGTTTTTTTTAGAGACAGGGTATTTTTCTGTCACTCAGGCTGGAGTGCAGTGGCGTGATCATAGCTCACTGCAGCCTCAGACTCCTGGCCTTGAGCAATCCTCCTGCCTTGGCCTCCCAATGCACTGGGATTACAGGCAGGAGCTACTGTGCCCAGCCACCTCCATGTACCAATTTTAGATGCCACAAAAAATTACTTCTCGTCCTTTTGGCTAAGATCGAGTGTCAATGTTACAAATATTTTAACTACATAAATTTAATTTTGTCAATTTATTCTTAATTGATGTTTGTAATAAAACATATATAACAAAGTTTACGACAGGCACGGTGGCTCCCTATTGTACTGCATTGGTCCATACGTCTGCCTTTGTACCAGTGCCACACTGTTTTAATGACTGTAGCTTTGTGGTAAGTTTTAATACTGGCAAGTGTGAGTCCTCCAACTTTGTTCTCCTTCTCCTTATAGCTATTTGGGGTCCCTTGAGATTCCATTTTAATTTTAGGATGTGTTTTTCTATTTCTCAAATGCCATTGGGATTTTGATAGGGATTGCACTGAATCTCTTTTTTTTGTTTTTTGTTTTTGAGACAGAGTCTCACTGTGTTGCCTGGGCTAGAGTGCCATGGTGTCAGCCTAGCTCATAGCAACCTCAAACTCTGGGCTCAAGTGATCCTCCTGCCTCAGCCTGCAGGGTAGCTGGGACTACAAGAATGCACCACCGTACCCGGCTAATTTTTTCTATTTTTAGTTGTTTGACTAATTTCTTTCTATTTATAGTAGAGACAAGGTCTCACTCTTGCTCAGGCTGGTCTTGAACTCCTGAGCTCAAGCGATCCTCCCGCCTCGGCCTCCCAGAGTGCTAGGATTACAGGCGTGAGCCACCGCGCCCAGCCAGATTACATTGAATCTGTAGGTCACTTTGGGTAGTGTTGCCA